GCACCAGCATACAATTTGGTGATAATTGGGTTGCAAATACCTTCCAATTCTTTTTGTTTGTGTTCATATTCTTCCTTTTCAGCCAGTTGGTTAGCATCCAACCATTTGATTGTTTCGTTAACTTTTTCTAAAATTGTGTTCTTGTCTGATTCTGGGATCTTTTCTTTGATTTTTTCATCTTCCATTGTGCTCTTCATGTTGAAACAGTAGGATTCCAAACCATTCTTAGCGGCAATGATATTCTTTTGTTGTTCATCTTCATTCTTGTATTTTTCAGCATCATTGACCATACGTTCGATATCTTCCTTGCTTAAACGTCCCTTATCATTGGTGATGGTGATTTTATTTTCTTTGTTGGTAGATTTTTCAATAGCACTAACGTTCAAAATACCATTGGCGTCAATGTCGAAGGTGACTTCGATCTGGGGTACTCCACGTGGTGCAGGAGGAATAGAAGTCAGTTCGAATTTTCCCAACAAATTGTTATCCTTTGTCATAGCACGTTCTCCTTCATACACTTGGATCAAGACTCCAGGTTGGTTGTCAGAGTAGGTAGTGAAAGTTTGGGTTTGTTTAGTCGGGATGGTTGTGTTACGCTTGATGAGAGCGGTCATCACACCACCAGCAGTCTCAATACCTAAAGACAGAGGGGTGACATCGAGCAACAATAAGTCTTGGACTTCTTCAGATTTGTCTCCGTGTAAGATAGCGGCTTGTACTGCTGCACCATAAGCAACAGCTTCATCGGGGTTGATTGATTTGTTCAACTCTTTACCATTGAAGAAGTCTTGCAACAACTTTTGAACTTTGGGGATACGGGTAGAACCTCCAACCAACACAATATCATTGATGGCAGATTTGTCCATCTTGGCATCACGCAGAGATTTTTCTACTGGCTCCATGGTGCTACGGAAAAGATCAGCATTCAACTCCTCAAAACGAGCACGAGTGATAGATGTATAGAAGTCAACACCTTCAAACAAGGAATCAATTTCAATGCTTGCTTGGGTAGATGAGGAAAGAGTACGCTTTGCACGTTCACAAGCAGTCCTTAAACGCCTCAGGGCTCTCTTGTTAGTGGTTACATCCTTCTTGTATTTGCGTTTAAACTCTTGTACAAAGTGATTGACCATTCTGTTGTCAAAATCTTCTCCTCCCAAGTGAGTGTCTCCAGCAGTCGATTTGACTTCAAATATTCCATCCTCAATGGTCAAAATGGATACATCAAAAGTACCACCACCCAAATCAAAGATCAGAACGTTGCGTTCTCCAGATGTTTTCTTATCCAAACCATAAGCAATGGCAGCAGCGGTAGGCTCATTGATGATACGCATTACGTTTAAACCAGCAATGGTTCCAGAATCTTTGGTAGCTTGACGCTGGGAGTCATTGAAATATGCAGGCACAGTGATAACAGCATTTGATACCGTTTTTCCAAGGTAGGCTTCAGCAGTTTCCTTCATCTTGGTCAAAACCATAGATGATACCTAAGAAACAATAAAAWAATATTAATTATGAATGTTTTCCCTTTATTTTTATTTAATGGTACCTCTTCTGGAGAGAAGATTTTGTTTTCTCCTTTGTAGGAAATTCTGATTTTAGGTTTACCACTATCACTGACTACTTCAAAAGGCCAATGTTTCATATCAGCTTGTACAGTAGTATCTTCAAAACGTCTTCCAATTAAACGCTTGGCATCTATAATGACAAATTAAAAAAAAATTATGAAAAATAATAACAATGAAATATTAGAAGCTCAATATTTACCAAAAATTGTGTTGTTGGGGTTCATAGCGACCTGGTTTTTAGCAGCATCACCAATAAGACGTTCAGTATCGGTGAAACCAACATAACTGGGTGTGGTACGGTTGCCTTGGTCATTGGCAATTATCTCTACTTTGCCGTGTTGGAAAACACCGACACAAGAGTAAGTTGTACCCAAATCAATACCAACAGCAGGAGTTTTGGCAGCCATTTTTCTTGGTATGGAGTGTTTTTTAAGTAAGAAATATATAAATTAAGTCTTGTAGTTTGACAATAAGTCCTAAAAACAAAAAGCGCATTCAATATACAAGTACCGTATTAAGAGTAACATTGGAATTATGTCATCCATATTTAGTAAAACAAGGGCACACCATGTTAAGAATCATAACATATTTACAATATAAACATTAGTTTTTCACTGACATATTATAGTTATGTTGGGATAAAACAGTATGAAAATTATGTATTCCATAATATTTTAGAGTTTATTATCCATCAAGTATTTAAGTGTCATCAATTTAAGAATTAATAACAATAACATTAAAATAAATAATTAATTAATAGGGAACAATTCAATTAAAACTGCGATTTAAATAATAAATAGTTTGCTATACGCGTAAAAACTTAAGATAGCGCAAACAATTTGGCAATGAATTACCTTTATCGTCAACATATTCCATAACACAATTATTTATTATAATTACTTTTCAACATTGAAATATATTGAAAAATTGTTAAACGTGAGCGTTATAACACGACCTTGGTCCAACAGGTAAAGAAACGAGGTTTAATAAGAATAAAATTATACGCAAATGTCGTTCATTGAACATTTACGATCAGGTTTGTTAGATTGTTGAACATAGWAAACAAAGACAGAGTGGTGAAAAACACGAGATGAACACTTAGGTTATTTGGGTTAATGGCGCCAATAGGCRACACACCATCGGGTATCTAACAAAGAAACTACGTAAAAAATACGGCCGCTGAGAATGAAATTGACCATTTAACAGCGATCATCGACAATGGAGCGAAAAAAATAGATATAGTTGAGAATATGATAAAATTAATTGATATTCGATAAATTAAAAACGACGGGACAATTAATTAAGAAGGTTGTACGGATATAACCTTAAAAAGCCTGGTGTATAAGGCATCGTGTGAGGTGCAATATAAATAATATGGATGATATTAGAACATAATTTCAAGCCTACAGCATTAATATTAATGTTACGGTTTTGGAAATAAAACATGTTGTGGCGGTGAAGAATTGATTTGACGATGAAAAGTTAATATTTTTCAGCGAAATAGTCATATAAAATGAAATACAATAAGGTAACAAAAATKTACACTTACAGACTAGTATCCCGCGTAGAGTCCAGGAACAAAATGGTAGATGCCGACAGACGAGTGCGTTGCAGTAGCGCTTTCAACGTTTGTGAATTGTGATTACTTGGGTGGAAGGGAGATGGGAGTTGTGGTAAGTCCGTTTAACACACAGAGTTCGCCGGCCCAACGCTGTGGTAATGGGTGGACGAATAGTGGGGGACGACGGCTCTAGAACATTCTAGACGTTTCATGGAAGAATAAAAACGAAAACAGTTCCGGTTGTTCAACGRTTATAAGAAGTGTTGCCAGGTCTGGGGAAATTTGATTGATCCGAGGAAATTATGGAGAAATATCAAATAATACCATCCGGGAGATAGAAGGCGAAATGCGAAAAAGGAAAAAGTAATTCGTAGTTTTCACTTTTCATTGATCAGTGATCACTTATTTATGAAGAGTATTTGAATTTAAAATCATGTAGACAGATGAAGCAATCATTTGAGATTAAGTTCACATTTCTAGACGTCGTTCAGGTTTCCGAAACCCCGATATTACTTATTTCCTCGGTT